GGTAGCAGGGAGGTTAATCCAACTGCCTTTGTCCTGATTTGTGCCGACATTAACGGTTCACACATGCAGCGGAATGAATGAAAGCAGAAAGTCACATGCAGAGACACACAGAGGCACGGTGTGTGTGTGTGTGTGTGTGTGTGTGTGTGCTGCAGTTTGCGTCAGTGATTTGGTAAACGACGCTGCCCTGGGCTTCACATTTGGGGATTTACTCGTCGCTCGCAGACAGAACTGTGACCCGAGGAGTCTGGTTGGATTATTTCAGTCTGTCTCGCTCATGCTCTGATTTTAATGTGGTTTATGATCAGGCTAATTCAAAGTGACTTCTCATTTGTTTCTTTGGCCCAATTAAAGCATGTCAAATAAATGCCCTTAAGACGCTGCAGACTGCTGATCACCATGACCAGCACTCATTACGTCTCGCTATGATCGGAAAAAATGTCCATTTTTGGAGGACAACCAGGTTTTTTGGAGCCAGAGGTTTATTTTAAATGACACATTATGGTTTTTGGGATCATGTTTGAGAATGTAAAATGTCTGTGAAGTTTTTTATATTGAAGTTATTGTTTCTTACAAGAAAAAAAAAGGATTCTGAACTGCCTGAAAGCAGTCGTCACTAACTCCAGCTTCACTTACAGCATAAACTTAAATATGTGTGTAACAAATCTGCTTAATTTCAGTCTAGTGCCTTGAATGTGCTTAACAAACCACCTGTGACAGTCTTTTCTGTTTTATCTCTACTAGATCAGTGTTTCCCAACCCTGTTCCTAAAGGCACACCAACAGTACTTATTTTGCATGTCTCCCTTACTTGACCTATTAACGTCAGGTTTTGGAGTCTCCTCTAATGTTCTGATGAGTTGTTTCAGGTGTGTTTGATTAGGAAGAGGTTAAAATGGTGTGCCTTCAGGAACAGGGTTGGGAAACACTGTACTGGAGAGCTTCTTTTATGTACTTGAGAACATTGTGCAATTCTGAGTGTGCTCCACACATGTGAGTGGGCTTGACAAACCACCTGTTGGACACACCCTCTTTCAAAAAATCTGAACAAATGAACAAGACATAGACTTGTAGATGTTATCATACACCCAGTGCAATAGGGCGCAAGACGTGTTTGGCGCAATTTGTTGCTGTTTTCAGAGCAGCGCAACAGTACTTTTCACGTTTTGTGCCACTTTGCCCAGGTAGCAAAGAATTCTGGCCCAAATTTGGCATAAATATGGCAAAGCTGGCATTCATCCGGCAATGGCATACAGCATGTGGGCCAAACATGGCCCTGGTTTGGCTGAGATGGCACTGTCCTTAAGGCAGCACACAATACTTGGGCCAGATGTAAAATGTATTGTTTGGCCCAGATGTTAATAATTGATATATGGGCCATGTAAGTTTGGCCTATCTTGACCCACATTTAAAATACGTTTTTTTATTTTTTTTAAAAAAAGGAAAAACATTCTACCAATCAGATCACTACGAGAAAAAGCATGCACATAGCACGCCTAAAGTGCAATGATTGGGTTTATCAATTTCATTGCAGTTGTGACACACCTGGCCCAGTTCCGGGTTATTGACTTGGCTGAGATTTAGCCCAGATATGGTCCATGTTTGGTCCTTGTCTGGAAGCCAGACTTGGTCCAGTCATGTACCGTAATTGATTATATGCATATTCATATTTGCTTCAATTAAAACAAGTTTAGTTTTGTCCAGCTGTGGGGTTTTGGAGACGTCTGCATCAGCATATGGGGCATAAGAACAGGACGTGAGTTTGGATATAACTCAGTTTTCCGACCACACTTTGTTATTATTGTTCATTTATTCCTTTGCTGGAGATTAGAACTGAATTTAGAAATAGTTTAGAAACAAATCTTTATGTTTAACAAATAAAATTAAATATGTGGGCTAATGGGTGTGTTCAGTGGAGTGAGCTTCCACCGTTTTCTTACTCTACCAAAGTAAAGGAGTAAAGAGTAAAAATAAAGTAAAGAGAAAGTAAAGAGGCTGAATGGAGGAGGCTCATTCTTTATCCTCGCGCTGCAGATGCTCTGTTTAACTGTTTTCTCGCTATTGAAGCGTTCAGTTTTTACACTTACAAAGTCAGTCATGTAAATAACAAATGCCCCTTGGCGCAACGCAATTGACTCTTTGATGATGAATCAGATGAGAATCTGATTGGTTTAATGCACATTATGTTCAAAACACACCCAGAACTTAGGGGTTAGATGACTATTTTGAAATGCTAGTGATGGTTAGATCAGTTTCATCTGTACTGAAAGCGTTGGTGATATGAGAAATGATAAGATTAAAAGAAATGTGAGATGACAGCCATCATAAACAAATCACAAATTAGCTTCTGGGGCATCTGACATCTAATTTAGATTATCACAACACCAATCACAGCAAAATCTGACCAATCAGAGCAGAGTATAGAGGCAGCTTGACCAATCAAGAGAGAGGTTAAGAGAGACATGATTCTTAAACTTTTAGACACTGTGAGGAAAAAAACTGATTTGATCCTGCAATAATTATTCATTAATTTTCCTTCAGCTTAGTCTCTATTTCAGAGATCGCCACAGCGGAATGAACTGCCAACTACTCCCGCATATGTTTTATGTAGCTGCAACTCAGTACTGGGAAACATCCATCTCATTCACACACACACTCATACACTTCGTCCAACTTAGTTTACTCAATTCCCCTATGGCGCATGTGTTTGGGCTGTGAGGGAAGCCGGAGCAACCAGAGGAAGCCCACGTCAACATGGAGAGAACATGCAAACTCCACACTGAAATGCTAACTGACCCAGCTGGGACTCGAATCAGTGACCTTCTTGCTGTGAGGTCACAGTGCTAACCACTGAGCCACCGTGCCACCCTTGCAATGGATATTATGAGGAAATGAAAGCATATCATGAACATCAAAAGTATTGGATGAGATTATAAATCAGAAACCTTTGAAACGACATAATAGGGGCACTTAAAAGCAGGCTGCTTCATTAAAAAGATTAAAATTCAAGTGACTAAAATAGCTGAGGAAAAAATGCTTCTATGATCCCAATAATAATTAATATGTGAATAGCTGTACAATCTCTTTAGCATCGCTGGCGCTGATCCAGCAGGGTTTGAGTGACAGTTGTTGGTGTTTAGATGCATGTCTGTTTGGTAATTGTTTTCACACTCGTCTCAGCTGGAGAGACGGCGCACAAACAAGCTCTCGCTCACTTCAGCCCGCTCTTCAATCAAACAGGCCATTTGTTTATAAATCACACAGTATTTATGAGGGTCTTAAGAGGCCCGTCTTCAGGTCTAAATATTCTGAAGCGGGATGAACAGCCTGTAAAATGCAGCTTCAGCTCTCGACTGTTTCGAGAGTCCTCACAGGTCAAATCAGTCCCGCTGTGAGGAAGATAATCACGAAAACACTGCTTTTTAGAGGGTAGATAAAGGCAACACAGCTGACATAACTGTACAGGGATTTCAACTGGCTATAGGAGGATCTCTGATTCTGATAATTGGTCAGAATCAAAATGATTATCAAACTGAATCAAAAAGTGAATCAGTCAATTTTAGAATCAAACTGAGAATCTGACTTATTTTTTTGAATCAAAAAGTGAATCACTCAATTTTAGAATCAAACTGAGAATCAGACTCATTTTCTGAATCAAAAAGTGAATCACTCATTTTTAGAATCAAACTGAGAATCAGACTCATTTTCTGAATCAAAATGAGAATTAAATTCATTTTCTGAATCAACATGAGAATCAAAATCTTTTTCTGAATCAAAAAATGAATCAAACTCATTCTCAGAATCAAAATTAGAATCAAATTTACTTTCAGAATCAAACTGAGAATCGGACTCATTTTCTGAATCAAAAAGAGAATCAAAATCCTTTTTAGAATCAAACTGAGAATCAGGCTTATTTTCTGAATCAAAAAGAGAATCAAAATCCTTTTTAGAATCAAACTGAGAATCAGGCTCATTTTCGGAATCAAACTAAGAATGAAAATCATTTTCAGAATGAAATGAGCCAAAATGAGAATTAAATTCATTTTAATGAATCAACATGAGAATCAAACTCTTTTTTCTGAATCAAAAAGGAAATCAAACTCATTTTTAGAATCAAACTAAGAATCAGACTTATTTTCTGAATCAAAAAGTGAACCACTCAATTTTAGAATCAAACTGAGAATCAGACTCATTTTCTGAATCAAAAAGTGAATCACTCATTTTTAGAATCAAACTGAGAGTCAGACTCATTTTCTGAATCAAAAAGAGAATCAAACTCCTTTTTAGAATCAAACTGAGAATCAAAATCTTTTTGTGAATAAAAAAATGAATCAAACTCATTCTCAGAATCAAAATTAGAATCAAATTTACTTTCAGAATCAAACTGAGAATCAGACTCATTTTCTGAATCAAAAAGAGAATTAAAATCCTTTTTAGAATCAAACTGAGAATCAGACTCATTTTCTGAATCAAAAAGTGAATCAAACTCCTTTTTAGAATCAAACTGAGAATCAAAATCTTTTTCTGAATCAAAAAGTGAATCAAACTTATTCTCAGAACCAAAATGAGAACCAAACTCATTCATTCAGATGATCAAACTCATTTTCAGAATCAAAAAGAAAATCAAAAGCATTCATTCAGATTTAAAATGAAAGTAAAAATATTTTGGATATTTCAACGTGGGTTTGTCACATTTTTGGATTGCTTTGAAACATTTTCCTTGTGCTCTGTGCTATTTGCATGTGTTGTGAGAGAGTGCAGGAGTTTTCTCAATTAGTTTGCATTGTAGGAAAATGCAGTGTGTTTTTTTAATGTGTTTGTGTTGAGAGGATTTGCAACATGTATGCTATAAAACCGATGAAGATCTTTTCTTAACTTACTGGTGTTTTTTGTTATGCATATGTTCTCTTAAATTGCAGGTTAAGATCTCTCGGCCACCATTGCATTTGCATGTAGTTTTGCTGTATGTGCTGTGATTAATCCAGTTTTCTCCTCCTCCAGCTGGTGGCGGTGTATGAGGAGCAGGACCCTCATCATGGTGGCGATGGCACCAGCGCCAGCTCCACCGGCACCCAGAGCCCAGAGCTCTTCACCAGCACTGAACTCAACTCCAGCAACCTGTCAGCCTTCCAGCCCTACCAGACCAGCAGTGAGATCGAGGTCACACCGATAACACTCAGAACCAGTGAGTTCAGCTTTACACTCTGATTACCCACACAATACACCCCCCCACCCCCCACCCGTAAATCTCAGTGCATTGCTGCTTCATTTAAAATCAGCAGACAGAGGGAAAGTTGTTGGGAAACTTTTGGAGTCTTGGCTTGTCATACACCTGTTTGTGTGTGATCTCTGAGGACTGGAGGTGTGTGTGTGTGTGTGTGTGTGTGAGCTGCTCTGTTAAAGCTGTGTTTGACACGGGACGCACAGGGACTGACCTGGACAGACAGGCAGGGGCGAGTGGACAGCTGAAATCACCAGAGGAAGAGCTGCTAGAGCACAGACGCACACACACACACACACACACACACACACACACACACACACACACACACACACACACACATATTCTGCTGTGGAAAGCACAGGGCAGACTGATATGATCAACTGTGACAATCCACACACACACTACATACAAAGACACACAAACACACACACACTCACATAAACATTACAAACGGACACACATGATACATGCACACACACATATACAGACTTGGACACACAAACACACATATGTACACACATGCACACACATAACACAAAGGCAAACACACAGACACACTCATGACACGCATTTAGGACACACAGGCAAACTCACATATGCATCACATACACAAACACACACACGAAGACACACATAAACACATACACCAACACATCTCTCACACACACGCACATACACTCAAACACATTAAACATGCACCCAGGTATCACAGTCATCCACATAAACACCCATCACATCCACAAACACATGCATCACACATATGTGCACACAAATCCCTTACAAACTCAAACACACAATGCACAAACTCACACAAACACACACACAAACACTTCTCCATTTTCCAGTAATGATTAAATCTTCAGGACCTGTTGTTAATAGTGTGATGTGATGTGAGTGTGTATGATGTTTGAGGAGTTGAAGCAGACAGTGGCTTTCTCGACACACCTCATCTACAGGTGAGTGTGTGTCCCATATTTCCCACTCTTCTGTTGTTGACTGAACCATTGATTTGATGCATTGTTGTGTTTTGAGAGCTGCCGCAGAGGGAGGTCTGGAGTCCAGCTCGCCTGGTGTGTGAATCCCAGCATCATATCAATCCTGCCAGCACAAATTAAATTCTTACAGAGAGATGTGTGTGTGTGTGTGTGAGAGAGAGAGAGAGAGAGAGAGTGTGTGTTTTGTGTGTGTGTTTGTAGCATTCTGTACAGCTTTACAGCAGTATGCGCATTGCAATTGTTCCTCTAATGGTGTAAATCCTCCATGCAGTTTACATCTTTCTATCAAATACATCGTTTGATCTTTTGAGATTATATGTAAATATGATCTTCTCATTTATTCTTAATAACAACCGCAAAATATAAGTATGCTAAAAAATAGAACAGCTCCATGTGGTGATGATTAACTCAATTAATAATATTCTGTAGGTTTTGTTATATCAAATGACACTATTCTGATATTAATATAATATAATATAATAAAATATAATATAATATAATATAATATAATATAATATAATATAATATAATATAATATAATATAATATAATATAATATAATATAATATGATATGATATGATATGATATAATATAATATGATAAGATATGATATGATATATTATAACATAACATAACAATATAATATAATGTAATGTAATATAATATAATATAATATAATATAATATAATATAATATAATATAATATAATATGATATGATATGATATGATATGATATATTATAACATAACAACAACATAATATAATATAATATAATATAATATAATATAATATAATATAATATAATATGATATGATATGATATGATATAATATAATATAATATAATATGATATAATATAATATGATATGATATATTATAACATAACATAACATAACAATATAATATAATGTAATATAATATAATATAATATAATATAATATGATATGATATGATATGATATATTATAACATAACAACAATATAATATAATATAATATAATATAATATAATATAATATAATATAATATAATATAATATAATATGATATGATATGATATGATATATTATAACATAACAATAATATAATATAATATAATATAATATGATATGATATGATATGATATGATATGATATGATATGATATGATATATTATAACATAACATAACAATATAATATAATATAATATAATATAATATAATATAATATAATATAATATAATATAATATAATATAATATAATATAATATTTAATTATTTTATAATATACAATTATTATATCTCATGTTTTATTATTATTTTTATTATATTATAAAATTACTTTTTTTAATCTATTTATGTGTTTACAGTAAGGCAAATTACTAAATATAATAAATTAAATATAAAATGTATTGATTGGTTGGTTGGTTGGTTGATTGATTTTCGTTTGTTCATTCTTTAGTCAAATTTGTTTGTTTATTGATTGGTTGGTTGGTTGACTGATTTAGTTCTGTGGTTTGATGGTTGGATGTTTGTTCGTTGGTTCGTTCTTTTATTTGTCGGTTGGTTAGTTCGTTCGTTGCTTGATTTGATTTTGTTCATTCGTTTATTTGTTCGTTGATTGGTTGGTTGACTGAGTTGGTTGGTTTGCTTGTTTCGTTTGCTTGTTTGTTCGTTGGTTGGTTAATTGATTTGATAGTTTGATTTTGTTTCTTCGTTCATTTGTTCGTTTCTTCATTGGATGATTGGTTAATTTCGTTCCTTTGTTCCTTAGTTTGTTCGTTGGTTGGTTGGTTGACTGATTGAGTTTGTTGGTTTGTTCATTGGTTCATTCAGTTGTTGGTTGGTTCATTCATTGATTTATTTGATTTCATTCATTTGTTTGATCATTGGTTGGTTGATTTAATTTGATTGATTGATTTAGTTCATTATTTCGATTGTTCGTTGGTTGATTGATTTAATTGACTGATTTTGTTCGTTTATTTGTTTGTCCGTTTCTTCGTTTTTCAGTTAGTTGGTTTATTTTGTTCATTTGTTTGTTTGTTCAATTGTTTGTTTGTTTGTTGATTGGTTGTTTGGTTGACTGATTAAGTTCTTTGGTTAGTTTATTGGTTCATTCGGTCGTTGGTTGGTTTGTTGGTTCATTTGTTAATTTTGAATTCGTTCATTCCTTTGTTCGTTGGTTGGTTGGTGAATTGATTGATTTAATTTGATTGATTGATTTTGTTCATTCGTTCGTTTCTTCGTTGATTGGTTGATTTCGTTCATTCATTCATTCGTGCGTTCAGTTGATTATTTTAATTTAATTTATTTAATTTAGAAAGCACTGGATAAAGCACCAACGCACTGCACATAACATGTAAAATAAAACAATAAGAGGTAAAAAAAGTTAAATAGCAGTAACTGTTTAATGAAGCAAGTGCTTTAAGAGTTAAGAAGATCTGATGAGGAGATCTGATAGGTATTTAGGCGCCAAATTGTGTAGGCACTTAAACACAAACTGAAGAATTTTGAACTGTTTGCTGAAATGAATGAAAAGTCAATGCAGGGAGTGTAGGATGCCAGTAATGCTCATATTTGTAACCGTTTTTCTGGAATTTGGCTGGAGAATTATGCACCACCTAAAGTCAAGCTACTTACGATTTAGAGATGCCATACAGATGATTTACAGAAAAATGTATGTACGGCAGTATTGGACACATTAAAAGTTGACTTTTTCATGTTTTTACAAACCAAAACAAATCCACATGCTGTGCTCAAAACTTATTGATCTGCCCACTGACACTGCATTTTAATATACTCCCATAACCAGTGCTCTACTGGACTCACACTGCTGAGGTGCTTCATGTTTTACCCAAATTCTGTGCAGCATGCACCTTTGAATCTCAAAATGTATGGAAACATAGACACGGACACAAACACACTTGCATACACACACACACACACACATTGGTTTTTAGTGGTTTATGAGGACTTTATTGGCATTATGAATTTTATCATGTAAAAACCACTTTTTACATGGGTTTTACTCACCCCAACCCTCACATCAAACACAATTTTAAGAAGAGAGGATGATTTTAAAGGGTTTTGAATTATGAGGACAGCAGGGATGTCCTAATGAGCCACCTCAATTTAAATACAGAGGTCATACCCATGCCATTATGCACATTTCTGTCCTCATAAACCACAAAAACCAGTAAACACGCAGACAAACAGGCATACATACACACATTGATTTTGATTTCAGCAATGTGAGCTTCACACACATGTTATACGGCGAGTGAAAGCCGAGCTGGTAATGAGTGCTGCTGGGGAGAGTTACCGGAGCTCAGCTAAACAGATCCAGCAAGAGCACCAGAGAGCAGCCGCCAGTCAGCCGGCGAGCCCCAGGGTAGAGCACCTGAAACCAGCACACCGCCGTACTAATGAGTGCCTGCCTCTCTGAGCCCACCGGGGACCCCAGATCTCCACAAACACCCTCATAAACATCCGCCTGCCGAAAATAAATCCCACAGACCACCCTCATTAACATTCAACACCAGCCAGCACTGTCGGAAAGCTTTAAAGTTTCCTTTCTTTCTCTCCACTTTTTGCAAGATTACGCTCGGGTGTCAGGCGAGTCAGACGAGCGCCTGATTCTGTATAATTACAAGCAAATTACATTCATTACCATAATTTACATCTCATCACCAATCCAATTATTAGTTGCCCTGACCTCTGCTGAAAGATTTTTTTTTTTAGATAATCAAACGTAAGGGACGAGTTCTCAATCCCCCCCTTCTCTTACTCCCAAGAAGAACAATCAATGCAAATTTCGGCAAGACGAAACTCTGAATGTGCGTGATTATATGCTTGGAAATGGAGGGCCATCGCGCAGCTGTGATTTCTTTTTTTTGTTATTGCTGGAGTAATATCCTCATCTCTGTTCAGTCCAGCAGGAATTGTAGATTTTTCTTTTTATTATAGAAGTCATCAAGAGCGTCTCTCAGTAT